TGATTGTCTCGTTTTACTGGTCAAAAAATACTTGTTACTACTTAATAACCTTGCGCGAAAAAATTAACTAATATCAATTAGTCACTAATACTTAACGCAGAACATAACGCAAAGGTACATCATCCGGCGTTGCCACAATACAACTAAAAAATAATCGTATCATAGGAATAGAAACAGCATACGTAATAGTAATAAAGAATAAATGGTTTAAAAAGGAGGAATGAAACCAAAGGATAAAAATGTACAAAACTATATTAAGACTGAAGTTTCTGGGGAAAATAAGTAATGTGTACACTTTTACCTTCTTTTTAGAGACATCATATTGGCCATGCTTGCCCCATGGATGCCATCATTTATTTAGTTAAACACAAAAACACTGGTACAGATGGGTACCAAAAACATATGTGCGCCATATAATCAAAATGAGACTATAAAGACGAAAGTGAGTATAATAAAAAGGAATAAATGAATAAAAATTAGTGTACGAGTGATGAAGAATTACGGTGCGAGAAGCAATACACTTAAGAAAAATAAAACCAGAAATGATTTTTCAGTTAAAGTTTCTCTCATTTAAATGAACAAAGCAAAAGAAAATCACACCAGGATCGCCATTGGTTTCTATTCTGAACCATGTACGATAACGTCTTAAGCTTATGAAGACTTGTAGTTCAGGTGCATGATTTAGGTGGAACTTGTTCTCGAATGGTTGTCCACAGTTATCCAAATGCATTGATATAAGCGAAGATATTTCATAAAATACAACGACTGTTGGCCTACAATAAGCATTTATTTATTTATTTAAACACATAAACATTAGTACAAGGAGGCACCAAATATATATGCGCCATATAAATCATTCAATTTGTGTGAGGGCTGCGATACTGTCCGGTTGCCCAAACCGAAACAGGTGGTCTTCTTAGGGGGCCACACCCAGCGCCTTCGACCCAAAGGTCAGATCCACAAGGCAGTAGCGCAACGTCAGGAGATGCAGTCCCATGGTAACCGGTCACCAACAATTGGTTCATATGCCATCTGTTTCATTAGGATACTGGAGCCCATGTGCACCAACTCCCCCACGTAGATCCTCCAAATCCACCAACCTGGTTAAAGCGTCAGAAATTCGCTTTTCGTCCTCTCGATTTCGTAAGAAACAAACCCCCCCCCATGAGAAGGCAGTGAGTAGGACTTCCCTGGCAGTAGTTTTATGCACGTGGCCATGTGAGAGCATTTCGTGAGGGAGAGCTGACTCTCCCCAGTCTCGGCCGTACCAGGGCATTTGGAGGCTTGCAATAAGTATGGTGTTCTAACATTTAGAGGAGGTTGGAGATATGATCAATACATCCTTGACCAGAACGAAAACCAGCCTTCTCCTAGCGAATCATTTTTTCCCAGGCTTTGAGCACTCTGGGATGTATGACGGAAGCCAATAATTCGGACGCAATCGGAAGAAGCCTTATCCCCCAATAGTTATTGCATAGATAACATGAACCCTTTGTAAAGATAGGGACTATAATCAACTCATTCCCAGATGTTGGAACACTCAAATTCCTCAACGTTTGCAAACAACTCAGTCAGTTCCATAACCAGGAGATCGCCACCACCCTTAAAAAGGGCCGGAGGCGAGTTATCTGGGCTTGGCGACCTACGGTGTGTTAGAAGATGGCATTCCTTGTGGACTCCCATCTCCTTAGGTGCATCAGTCGACACTGGTCAGGAAGGACAAAATAGAGTTATTGGTGTCACCGGGGCAGCAGACTATTTGAACTGCCCCTCGAAGAACTCTGACCATCATTTAAGACGTCAGTGGAAGTTATTGATTGGCGATCCAACACCACAGATTGTTCTACACTAGACGTCTTGCTGCTGGTGCCTCAGTTGAACTAAAAAATCTTACATCAGCTACCAGATACAGCCACTGTCTTCAAATCGTTAACACACGCCGACCACCAAGCTTCTTAGTCCTTACACACTCTCCACAATTTCATTAAATAAGAATCTATTTTCAACGTCAAACACACGGTTACCTGGAAAAGACCGAAGTGCTCCAACGAGTTGTAGAGAGCCTATAGAAAATCAGCGATTAAAGCCTATTTCATGGAGTCAGCCAAATGTAGCCAATGCTCACCTATACTTTTCGGTGGGTTGATAGCTATACTTGAACCTAACTCGGTTTGCTACCTAGTTGCAACAGAAAATGAAGACTATTTGCTTATGTCGATTCATTTAGGGTGATGAATTTGTTGGTCACTAAAACATCAGATAGGAATAACATAAACGATGGCATGATCAGAGTCCAGATAAGTACTCCAAAAGGAGAGGTAGTCTTGTATACAACCACGCTAACGGCAGCTGGTCGAAATGTGATCAATTTGAATTCATTTTTGAGATGTAGAAGTAGGATGCTAGATAACACATAGCGATAACTGTGCCGATAGTCAGTGCCAGCCAGAAACAGGTTGTAGTTTCAGCAAAGTTGCAGGAAACATTCGCCGTTATCTGACCTGTGATCAACAAGTCTCCATGGGCCACCCAAAAGGCTCTCTTCTGTACCTAGAGGTCTCACCAATGCATTCAATTTTCAGATTCGCACTACAATATTTTTTTCGAGCACACTGTAAAAAACACTTGATTGGTGATAAAGCTCATCTATGATTGCATCCGGGCTGCAATGTGCCGGGGCGTAGGTGAAGATGAGACATCGTTTCTCACACCGAGTTCTTTTCACTCTGATAGAGCTTCGTAATCTAATAACACATAATCGACTGTTATTGGGAATACAAACGATTAGTGCTGTCTCGGCTCCAGCGCTTAGTGAGACACTAACGCCAGCAAAACCAGAGGGAAATGACAAATTATCCCCGAAACAAGCTTTTGGAAGCCACAGATGAAGGACGAATCTGTAGTATATCACTAGTGTTGAACCCATGTCTCGGATAGACAACAGACGTCGAAGTTATGATTTTATAAAGACAGTAAACCCTACCAGTTTTCCGATCTGCATTAATGTGTGACGTTGAATGAGGGTTGAAAGGAACGTGGTTCCAGAAAGGTTGGTTCGGAATTCGTTTGTAGCATTCAACCTCCAGTCAGTTAGTAACTGAGGATCGCTTACATAGGACAAGGTTCCCACCATAGGCGAGCTGATGTAGAAGTTGAGAAATAAGGGAATACGCAAAATAGTAAAAGGGAATAGACAAATGACTCAATGTATGGCAAAAACAAATGTCTTGTACTTTTAAAGGCTACGTTTTAGTCATCAGGTAGAATAGAGAAAACTGTTACTTAGTATACTCACCCTTCCATCAACAGACGGATAACTTACATCAGATGCGTGACACAGAGTTAAGTGTCAATCACACAAAGACCATAATTCAAACCGACACGTGATTATGGTGTTTAGAAGATCAAAAAAGGAGCGAAACGTACCTAACTTCTGCTGCTAGCTACAAAACATCCTTACTGAGCATGCTTATTTCCCTACAAAAGTGAAGTTGCAATCGTTTCTGTTCAGATTTTTTATTTTGAAAGATAATATAGCTAACTCAAGATATATCGCTTCGTATAAAAATCAAAATTCTTTATCCATTTATATTTGTACATTATTAATAGTTCTCATATTGTTCATATGACCTGAGCGAGTGTGTACGGTAAACACTGATAACCTGCCTAATTAAACTAAAACAGCCACATCTACTACTAATCAACGATAAAGTTCAAGACAAAATGATTGGGAATTAAACCGTAAAGACCTCTAATAGTACACTTTCGCTTAAGGACCTGATGTTTTAGTAACATGACTTTTACAGAGAACTTCGGAAAATAAGATATTAGAATCATGTCAGCCAAACCTATGACATGGATTGATCATACTATGAGCTGCAATACTACAGTAAGCTAAGACGCGCTAACTGCCAATTAATTAGTGGTAAAAACTTATCTTACTGTTCCACACAAACGAAGTATTCATGACTAGAAAAAAGTGGATTTCATAAAATAACAATACTTCAGAGGTTCATTAAAATTCATTGTAATTGTTCTATTTAACAATATACATCAGCATGTGCATAAAAAGCACTTATTATATCTAACCGACAAATTGATATTTAGTTGTGCAACTTTCAATTCAGGAAAATATATATAATTTTGGATTTAAGGATGACAGGTTGAGAAACAAACAATATGGAAATGCTGATTGACAGATAAACAGAAAGATGCAACTGATGTTTTGTCAGGCTCAATATTCATATAATTTGTACGAATATAACGATACTGACCTTGATAAGACAGACTGAATCTTCATCAACATGCCAACTAACGGTTTTATATTTTTCTAATACATAGCTCAAAATAATTAACATGCCCAATTTTCCATAATCGTATATTGCATAAAACAAGAGGACAAATAAAGTAAAGGAAGAATCGATATATGTACACTCAGAGATTAAGCAATCATAACAACATCGAAGTCAATAAAAATAATACCAGTAAACGGGAACAATAAAGTCAGAGTTTGTATGTGTGCAAAAATGCCATTGTTATTTTTACTACTTATTGTGTACAGCAGATTGAATCAAAACAAATAGGAGGCTGACTAAAAAGATTAGTCGCGCGATGAAAACATGTACAGAACGCGATTAATTTTAAGAAAAAGTAGAAAAGTTGCAGAAAGCCTACCTAGAATGATATCTAAAATCGCATTGTTATATATATATATATCGAAAGGAAAACAAAATTCATACAAAAGCCCAAACAAGTTTTAAAACATTTGTATGTTTGTGTACGTAATTACGTACAAAACAATTATTTAAAGTAACTTTTTAGTAAAACTGCTAGAGCAGATGTGGAATTATGCTAAATCAGATGAAGAGTTTATGAAGACCGGATACTGATGAAGGCCAGTTCACAAATATAGCTATTATAATCATCATTCAGACGCTTTGAAATTAAATTCCAGTTTTTAAATAAAGCCCACTGGCGCCCAATATAGCATAGTGGTTAATTTATTGTATACAACATTTTCGTTTGCGCTTTTTACGATCTTTTCCCTTCTTCTCTTTCTACAAAATATTTTCAAAAGCCGCGTAAATTAGTGAGTATCAAAAACTATGATTATAGAGAAAAAGATCATGAAAATGATAAACAGTAGTGTTTAGTGCGATAAATTTCTTCCAAGGAATACAAATAAAAAGGTACTTTTAACTAAACCTTAAAAAACTAGCATTTCACTGTATCATGGTCGTCTCTAGGTAACTTTTAATGAAATGAAAACAGAAACTGTAGAGCATTAACATGCACTTATCTATTTTGATGGGTTTTCTCCAGCTACTTGCGGTCTAAAACGTTCATATCAGTTATCTGAAGTTTTCAAATAGCTTTATCATGCTCCCCCTGTTAATACAGAGAGAGAAGACATACATATGAATTACGTAAAACCAACCGGTGATAAAACTGTGACAAAAATAAATTGGGTCGACCGTTTATAAGGCTAGTGAATATTCTAGAAAGCAAAAATGAATCCGGGCAGCATATAAAGAAAACACCTATGTAGGTAAGCTAATGCAAGCTGGAAGATCCTTAGGTGAGTTTTCTGGTCCCTAAACTCATTGAACAGATAACGATGACTGTCTGCTACAACTACGCTCTAACAAATGTCATTCTAACCAAGCACTAACTTTAAGCATAGGACGACATTTGTATATGAACACTCCGAAATATCAACTCAATGGTACATATAGATCAGCTATCGTAGAGAGTGCTCAAAGAAAGCCACGCATTTCGGAGCTGATATTTTGACTGATCATGCTCCAGTGCGAGCACGCGTTTACCTGATGCTTTACTGGAAACATGAAGGTCACAACGGGAAGATATTCTAAAATTCGGCTTAAAAATGAAAAAGTTAGGCGTGTATGTCAGGAACAACCAGAGAAGCCCTTTGTCGATCATTAAGTGATACTCACTTTGATGTTGCTTCGAATGATATTCAGACAGCTGTGAACAGAGCAGTGCGATTTATGAGTGAACTTCACCAAGCGGTAAAGGGACAAAAGCTAATCTGAGGCGATGGACAGCAGCAAGGCAAGACGGCTATACTCCGGAAATCTTTAGGGATGGTGGTCAAGTTTTAACAGTTAGCTTAACTGATTCATCAACTGGAATCTGAGAGCCGGACGTAGTAGTCTTACAACACTGGTCCTGACCACTTCAATTTATAAAAAGGATAGAAAACCTCTTGTGACTAGTCTAAAAATACTAAGCTCCATGATCATCCAACACATGACTAGGGCCCTAAGAAGAAAAAGACCAAGTCGGTTTATAAACCTTAACGTAGTGCGTATAGTAAATATCCACTCTTCATCAGGTTCTGCAGCATACATGCTTACCAACACTTAACTATAACTGTATTTCTTGACCCTAGAGGCCACTTGACTATAAAAATCGGGAAGCCTTGTGGGTACCATTGATAGATGTATAGAAGTATGTGAGCCGTGATGACTCATTGCTTGGTCATTGTTGGTTGAGTCAGAGCTGATTGAGAACGATAAACGGGATTGGTCTGGTTCTACGCCTAGATAAATTATACTGAAATGGTTGAGTACGTTAACCACTTCGCTAATCTTGGAAGTTTTACTAGACCCAGTAGGTTGGCGTTTCACGAAATCTTGGCACGGACTTAGGAAGTTCGTTTTGGTTCCGGCAACTTTGTCACATGCAGCGTAAGTGAGACGTCCACTGTTTGATTGAAGGGTGAGGTAGTGAGCAGCAGCCCTGTGTTCCTTCTCATGGCTTTGAAACGTAGCCTTTAAAAGTATAAGACATGCGAAGTTTACCAGCATTTAATCATAAGTATTCTCGAATTATTGCTCGTGTATGATAGAGCAACCGAGTGAACGATGCTGAGGTTAGACGTAGGGTACTAGGCAATGGTGGCAAATTGGCTGTTGTGTAGTGTTACCAACTGTATTGGGAACATGTTATATGAATGCCTTACTAGTTTTATTTAACACATTCGTATGTTTGTTAGTGTATTTCTAACTAGACGTTGGGTTATTGAGGGAGATAAAACTTTAATAACTATATTAGTTGGACTATTTTTGTTCTAATGATTGTAAAATCATTTTTACATTTTTACGAAATAAGGTTCTCATCTATCGATACCCAACAGTTATACTTACATCTAGCTCTCAAATGCTAGCTAACACCATTTAATTTTGCTGATAATAATAGATTACGAAATTCAAACAGCTCTGCAGAACCTCAGTCACAACACAGAACCTGATACGGTTCAAGTTGCCGTTCCCCATTAGCACGGAGATAAAATCGTCAAGTTAAATCCCAAAATAGTAAAGTTAGTAACATTCAGTTGTAGTAAGAAAGACCAGGCATTGAAGATACCATTCGAGAAGACAAGCAGAAAAAGTCATGAACGTAGAATCCCAAAATTTGAGAGAAAACAAAGAACGGATGCATCTGTGCCATTGCAAACGATTTTGAGCCATGTGATTCATAGTCTTTATCCATTGGCTGCAGCATATACGTGAACCCTAACCAAGTGGTCTAGACCTATTAACATGGCCAAATCCAACTACCAGCGACTTAATGGGCTGATGCCATGTGTTAGTTTGGTCACTCCTAGCCTTCGCCCAGCCTACTTCAATACCAGAAAACATCACTCATCGAAGTAGGTAGTGGTTGGATGAATGTAACGCATATCTCAACCACCTTACCTTAATTGATGAAGACTTACTACCTCGGCAACGGGTTTCCCATCCTTACCTAGTACTCTACTCCTAACCCAAGCATCGCTTACTTCGTGATCCCAAAATACACGAGCGATGCTTCCAAGACTTAAGGATATCCTCTACCCTTAATGGTCATTTTTCACATCCATAAAGTAGAACAGAGCAAACTGCTGAGCAGTAAACTTGTCCTTTGGTTGATAGAAGGATATCTTGCCTACGCCACAAGTGACGCAAGTTGGCAGAAGTCAATCGAGCCTTCTGAATCCTTACCGAGATTTCGTCGGACAAAAGAGTATCAGAACTGATGAGACTCCTAAGTGAAGCGGTTGATGAGTTCAACTATTTCACCCCCTATCATTAATTAATGCGCTGATGTAAGTCAATCCTGAAGCAGCACTTTGCATTTGGACGAAGAGAACACGATCTCAAATTTTTTGGATTGTTGCTTAAGGTGGTCAAAAGACTGAGTTTTGTCAGTCTTCACCAAGCGGAACTATGTCATCTGTGTATTCTAAGTCAACAAGCGAATCTTTTGGTAGACCAACCCCTAGAAGTCAGACGATGAAAATCCTATCTCTAAGACCATGCCTAGGACAAATATGAATGAAAATGAAATTGAACAACCCTGACGAACACCAATTAAAGTAATCAACTTTGATGGCGGTCGACCATAAGCTCTGATTCGACAAGTAGCGTTCGCGTAGAGTTTATACAAGGTTAATGTACTTATATATATATGTTTATATATTACCACCACTGAGTTAACTACTATGAATCCGGTGTTCATCTTGTTGTGCTAATGAGGTATGGCAACTTGGACCGATGCACATATGTGCCTGGTCCTACGCTGTAGCTGACTCTATTTATTTATTTATTTGAACACATAAATATTGGTACAAGAGAGCGCCAATATATATGCGCCACACAAAACAATGAGAATGCGAAGAGAAATAAAAAAAAACTAAGGAGCGCAAAAGAAAAAGGGAACAATAACGAAGAGATTGGTGTGAGGTAATGTGGTAGTAACGAGGTACAATCAGAAGAAATCTTTCAGGTAAGGGAGACACAACCACTTTTTATGAAGAAAGTAAAAGAAGGTTACAGCAGGATCGCCACTGGCTTCTATTCTGAGCCATATCTGATAACGTCTCTAGCCACTGTGTAGCACTATCTCTCGGACCCCAACCAGGGAGTCGTGAAGGACCGACAGAATCCAGCCCTTTGCAGCTTTCTTTCACGCCACGACACCATGTCATGCACTGACCATCTCTCCGCTTCTTCCAACCAGTCCCAGAGTCGGCAAATAATGCACGACGTGGAATTCTCTGGGACGACATTCGTAGAACATGTCCAAGCCACCGAAGTCGGTGTTTCAAGATGGTGACACCAATTGAATTATCATCTCTGTGCCCGAACACACGATGCCGAACCTCTGCATTACTAACATGGTGTTGCCACTAGATGTCAGCAATCCTTCGGAGACAGCGATGATCGAACACAGAGAGTCGTCTAACGTCCTCAACTCGGAGAGACCAGGTTTCACAAGCATAGAGCAAAACTGCTCTCACCGACGCGTTGTAGATCCGACCTTTTACAGCCAGACTAACATCACGAAGGCGCCAAAGGTGGCCCAGATTGGCATAAGCCGCTCTGGCTTTCACTATTCGTGCATTGATCTCATCACTCACACCCTCACCAGCACTTATGCAGCTACCCAGATACACGAACCTCTCGACTACGTCTATCTGCTCACCATCCAGGGTGAGTACAGGATTGGAATCCTGCCACAAATGATGAACTCTTTATGTCTATGTAGCTGACTCACTGACTAATGTATTTATTTGGTAGGCTTTTCAATGATACACTGTCAGAAAACCTCACGATCAACGGAGTTGGGCAACACCTTAAGGTTAAGGAATATAACTGTAGTCGGACGTCGAAAATTATGTCTGTTTCAGAGCCCGCCGCATTGTGAATGTTTGGCTCATACATCCACATCCAGGTCTGAAACCAGCATGATTTTCTCGAGTTTGCTTTTCACGAGCTCTAGTTAGACGTCAAAGTATTATTGGTGCAAATGTTTTAGACACTAGTTTAGTGAGACTGGTTCCTGTGATTTCTATTCTTTCTTATAGACTAGGACGATCAGCGATCGAGACCAGTCAGATGAGACTATATCCAGTTTTCAGATTTTAGCTAAGATTTCCGTATATTTAACCGCTAAAACCGGACCACCATCCTTAAAAATTTCAGGAGTTAGCCCATCAGGCCCCATTGTTCTGCTTGGCTTTAGATTACTTATAACTTTTCAGTCTTATTAAGAGTTGGCGGACTTAACTAATCCGTCATTCAGGTTGCTTGGAGACAGTGGCTAACTGATGTGTGGCTGAAGGCTAGGTGAACTGCTCCCTAAAGTCTATGTATCGTTTTAATCTCCTGTACTGAAAGTGAATAATACTCCAGTCTTTTTCCGAGATATTTCCACTAATAGTCGGATCTTTAATAGCCGTTTCCCTGATCAGTTTGAACAGTTGTCTGCCGTTACCCATTTTTGTGACCTTTTCCATCTCTTCTGCTTTCGCTATCCACTATTGCTCACGATCATTACGTAAGCATCTTATCAGCCTACATTTAAGCTGCCTTTGCTCCTCATCGCGCTCGGAGCCAGCCAGAGCATCTATCGGTTCTGTAGACGCCGTTGAAATCCAGGATGGATACCACTTCTATGGATGACTAACTCCTTCCCCAGTAGTGTCCGGAATATATTCCCAAGATTTTTACTAATTTGAACTCGAAGAGGTTTTAGGGTTGTGGCTTTTCTACGTCGTTAGATGCAGAAAAATACGTGCTTGAATTAAAGTACGATCTAAATCTAAAAATGTGCTTCAAAATGAGTGAAAGTTTTTTATCGAGTCTTTCCGACGATGGTTCATGTGAATGTGGGAGTCGCCACGTTAGACGATATTCCCCTTAAGCTTGCTAGAAAATAGAATAGTTGCAGCAGACGGTCGCCATCATCTGTTCGCTGAGCCACGACACAGTACAATCCCCCTAAATACCCTTTGATTCAGTTTATTCTACTTACTTCAGCATTGAAATCACCTTCTACTATTGCCACTTTAGAGCCTTGAGCTTTTTGAAGGTTGGGTAGCTTTCTACGAAATTCATCCGAGCTGCAGTCAGTGAGGGCGTAGACAGTTATCAATGTACCATTTAGTCAGACGGCACACAAGTGACTGTTCATTGGGATCCAGTCTAACAGGGAATGCTTTGCTTCTTAGTCCTATACCTAAACTAGTGAGGTCACGGAAAGTAACAATGGTGTCTCTAGATTGACTACTTATCTATTATCACCAAAGCCATACTGCAAAAACTTGTGCACTTTTACCTAGTTAAACATACATCAGTTAGCACTACGATGAACTAAAACATCTGGGATCCAAATATATCACCAATTAAATGCTTGAAGTGGTTACAAAAACTCCAAACTGGTAAAAGTAAACCTGTGATCTAGATTCATGACTTCATAAAGTCAAACTCCTAAACACAAAGTCGTTAACCGTAACAATGTAATTTCAAGTGTAACAAGCATTAAAAGTAAAGTATCATCTTTACCATCAAACAACGGTCTATTCTCTCGAAAACTAACGGTATCCTTTAAACGGCCACTTTGTCGATAAGGAAGTAATGTTCTAGCAGAAGACTCCTAGCTGGCTTGTAGTAAGGTGTGAAATGAGTTACTATGAATAATATACACTTGTTGTTTATCCCTTTAATTGTTAGACAAAAAATTGATATTGATCCATGAAATCAATTGGTAATTTGAGACATGAAAAAGTAAAGATTTATCCGGTTATAACTTTGATTCTATAAATTGATGAACTTGAAGCAGGACAGAGACAATAACGCCAAAACATCAGTCGAAACCAATCCTTCTTTATATTTGTTTAAAATATTTTTCGTGGTACTATGACTAAGTCTGATCGTAATCAAGGAACGGGGTAGCCTCAAACTATCTAATTACCATGATCTTTTCAAGTTGCTTTCTGTCTGCTTAAGGCTGAGTGCTTCTATATGTTGTAGATTTTTACTTGCAAGACGAATTTGACTTATCAGAACTTGATTATTACAAGTGCTAGGAATTCCAACCAAGTTCTAATAGCATTTGAACGATAATAGAAACCGACAGCAATAAAAATAAATTGAGGTGAAATAAGGCCATATATGAATATCTTTAACTTAAGGAAACAAAGAGCAATGGACAACTACATCACGCTACTTGGTTTTCTTTTTCTAATCCCGACATTAATAAGCAATTGAATCAGTTAGCCGATAGCTTCAGGGATGTCAGTTTGAGCCATTCTTCAATTTACTAGGATTTGAAACTATAATAAATAGGTGCTAGAGGCAAGGACTTTTAACTGGTTTGGGTAGGAAGGTAAACAGTTTTATCAACCTAATCATCTCGAAGAGTGGAGACAGAATTTAATTACAGGTTTAACCAATAAAAAGCAACTCCGAAACTCTACAACTAAAAAAACAACTGTCCATGAAAGCGACCCAAGCTTGTGGTATAAATGGTAGGCTTAACTACTTTTAAATCACTTACAGATTTTCTGATCTCCCGGACAAGTTTATGAAACGCATCTTCCACACCTTGTCTGGTCTTGGCGGAGGTCTCAACATACGGGATATTATAAGAGTGGGCTAAGGATTTTGCCTCCTCTGTACAAACACTGCGATTCGTGAGGTCAACTTTGTTTCCGACAACTACAAATGGAATGGAGAAAAGTTTTGTCAACTTACGAACCATAGGAACTTCGTCGGCATCTTTAACTCTTTTGATCTGCTCTCGATATTGATTTATATCATCGTAGCTCTTGGAGTTGTTCACGGCAAATACGCATAAAAATCCCTCTCCAGTACGCATATACTGATCTCGCATTGCACTGTTTGGAGAATAAATTTGTATTTTGAATTACCTGTATTCCTCTTGCCCAGCGGTATCTAAGATATCTAACAAGCATATTTCTCCATCAATGACCATCTGTTTTCTGTAAGAGTCCTCTACAAAAAGTTTAAATGCCTGGTCTTGTATTGGCTATACCTATCGTTGGGTCATATTCCTCAACAAAACTATGGTATAGTTATTAAAAATATTAAAAGCTTACTGATTCTGAATAAGCTGGATAGTAAGAGCACTTTTGCCAACTCCACCAGCTAGACGAATAGGTATTCATGTGTAGATAGCGAAGCTTACCTCCAACAACAACTAACTTGTACTCAGTCATAAGAAACTACCAAGCACGAACGAATTACGCCAAAGGCCCGGATGGCCTTGAAGTGCGAAACATAACAATTGAGAATAATATCGAATGGATCGACAGTAAGCGCAGTTCAACTATTTCTGTGACAATACTGTATGGAAAAAGAGTAGAAACTTCACTATGAACTTCATGTCTCTTACTTAATAATTTGATCTATAAATAGAAGATAAAATTAATTATTCAAACACTAGCTTTTGGGACAGAAACCTGATCGTTTGAACGAGCAGTTAACAGATCTCCAAAATAAATAGCTCTGTAAGTCTTCGGCAATGGATGCTGACCACATTATTTTTAATGGACTCAGCTGAATGCGCTTAGTCATGCATCCGCACCAGATCACGAGTGGGAACGCCATGCTCAACATTCCCTGCAATCGCTAGCCATTGTAGATCAGTCGATCCTCGATATATTGATAACCTACCTAGTATATCTTCGAACCTCCTCATTTCTGTCTTCAAACTTCACTTGATGGGTACGATTCATAGTACGTGTTACTGGTTAAAGCGTTTTCAAACTACAAATACCTGTGGCATTTTCAAGTGCTTCTTTCCGAATCACTTCACATGCAGTGACCTCAAAAGGAACGAAACCAGGACTGACCTAAGTCCCTCTCAATCTAGGTGGCCGATGTCCCTCCTGGAGGACAGCGGAACAGTCGGCATAGAACATGGAATATCGGAATAATGAAGAAGACAAAGATGCGTTCAAATAGTTGCTACACCAAGTTGAAACTTGTCTATTCTTGTGAAAAGTTAAACCCGCTGGAAACATGACGAACAGCTAGGACAGGCCTTAATAAATATGTTGCTATATTGTGGTATTCAAAAGAAAACCAGTCGGTGCACAAAGATTTGAAATGATTATGCGTGACGATGGGGAAAAGCCATCATAGGATGGCAAACCGAAGACTCTAGGACAATAAGAGTATTCACATGAAAAGATAGAGAATTGCATTAAATTTCATCCACAGCTAAGCACCCACCAATGATGGAAGCAAAAATGATGAAAAATATTCGCTGTGCTGTGTTTAGGGTTTGGTCAGTAAGTATTGACTAGAAAATCTAGAGTGCCATAAGCCAAATTCAGTGTGACATTACAATTCTAAATAACCGCAAATGAAGTCTATAATCAGCCGAATTTCAAGGAGAACGGTTTCATTTAGGCCCACTAATTTCACATCTTTTATTCACTACACACATCAAAGACACATGCGATTGGTTTGCACTGTGTAAAGCTTTTTCAATTGGCAACAACCTCAAGGCTGTATTTATATTTCATGGGAGTCAAAATCGAAATATCAGCCAAATAATACAAAATGTTTGCAAACTTCAAGGCGGTAAGTCTAGAGTAAAAATCTGTAAGGTATAGGAAATAGTTTGTATATACCAGTCCATTTATATTTAAAACAATTAGTCCCTTTGATAAATTTCGATAATGATATTAGAAGACGAAGATTATCAGAACTATGTGATATATTAGCGCAATACATTTCGAACAATCTGGTCACACATATACTTGTTAAGAGCATTTATATATAAAAATAAAAGGTCAACTAGACAGGAAACGGGGTAAGAGGAGATAAGGATAATGATAAGAGTAATAATAATAATAATAATGTGAACACAATTTGAAACCTAATCACTCTGGATAATCACCCTGGTAATATTGACTTATTATCCAGAGTGATTAGGTTTCAAATTGTGTTCACATTATTATTATTATTATTACTCTTATCATTATCCTTATCTCCTCTTACCCCGTTTCCTGTCTAGTTGACCTTTTATTTTTATATATAAATGCTCTTAACAAGTATATGTGTGACCAGATTGTTCGAAATGTATTGCGCTAATATATCACATAGTTCTGATAATCTTCGTCTTCTAATGCCATTTATATTTACTTTCACTAGTTATATATCATGTACATTCATTTATGATCTTCCCACCATTTAACCATGTGACTATATAGGCAACTGAGATCTTCTGGCCACGTAACTCACCGTAATATATCAATATGTAGTAGGCTCCATAGTTCGTATTTTACATCTTCAAGTTCTACTATCACGTGCCCTTTTGCTACGCACTGCATATTCCTTTTTCATTATTATCAAAAGGGACGGCTATTCTATCTAGCTTCTGCTTATATTATGAAAATTCCACTCATCTGCTTGGGATATTGCATTCAATTAATTTGAAAAAGAACTTGAGTCATGGTTGAATAAAATATTTAACAAGAAATATTACTCAGCAGTGAAATTTGAAACATTCAGTGAATGTCCTCAAGAGACACTATCAACTTCAAATTAATTTGAGTCACTCCTTTCCTATTTTTGACCAGTTTTCTGTCAAAAAGTCAAATCAATGAACAAACAAGTTCAAAGTTTGGATAAACCGAATATATCCAAAGTCAAGTAAAAATAATGATAGTTACAATAATAGATTATGGTTAGTTAAATACTTTGAGCTACTCCCATAAAGACAGTGGCAGACAGTATATCAGCTGAGGCGCTGAAGTCGTATGTATAGCTAATGGTTAATAAATCTCATGTCTTCCCAATGACCCGGTGGAAAGACATGCACCAGAAAAATGAAAAGATGTTTTCAAGATTCCTGTCACGTTCTTTATCTGTCTACCCAGATATACACAGGAAAGAAATTGTCTCGATCTTATTTAAAGCATGAACATAACAGGCTAACTGGTCTAACCGTGAAGCCAAAATGCATGAGTCCGAATCAAGACTAACGGTCTCTGGCAGAGAGATGAAAACTATTCTATCACCTGATTGGTTGACAAGAGAGAAAGAGAGAAGACGAGTAAACTGGAACATCCTTAGATTTGCTCCTGATTACTGGTCCCAAATCAGTGCAAATGATTAATCAATAAATAGACGATTAACGCGACCACAGAGCACAAACAATTGGAACTATACAATCATGTCCAAACCGGTCATTAAGGTAGAAAAATAGAGTACTAAGGGTCACTTTTAAATTACATTAGTTTGGAACACAGAAGGGTATGGCAGTGGACCATACATCAAACAGAAGTTTATGGTTTATAGATTCAACTCGAGATAAAACTAGATGTTAGTACTTTACATACTTAGAATTAAGCTTAATTGCGACGAATTAGGTTGATTAGTTAAGAGTTGACTTTAAGCATATAAGTATATATCAAAACATTAAAGCTCAAGTATTCATTCACTCCCCTATTTTGCATAGGGACTACATTCTCTATCATCTTTTTTTAAATGTTTTAAAGCTTTGTGTGTTCAAACAGGTTGTCTCGCACTCCACTAGTTTCTTCTATCGGCAGAACGAAGGATACCTACCAGCACGAAAAATAAAGTCACCCAAAACGTCTTTCGTCGCTTATCATGGCCCCTTTGTTTCCCTATTCACATCAATACCGAAGAAAGGAAATTCCAGTATATCCGAGCAATAGGAGAGGATAAAATCTTTATCGGTACTGTAGAATGTTCCGGAAAGTACTACTACTCTGAATAAAGTAGATGACCAGCTCTCATAAAGATCATTTACATACCTACCAGATCGGTACACGCCTGATTATTTTTGACAATCGAGTGAATGGTACTCATCACTATAAATAAACTCCTTTGATCACGAGACAACGTGGATAGTGAGCAGTTCATAGATCCAGTCCACGTGAATATTGATGTCAGAAAAGAATGGCTACTGTTGCTTTTTCTCTTTTGCCAGTTATTTACTGAACCGCGATGATCTCCACATCAAAGAATATGTATGGAATACAACGTGCACTTTATGCACACCCCGATAACTCAGACTTTCGAGATAGCTTGAACAAGTATCGTGTCAAACGATTAATTTTTATGATCTACTGGAGTCCATAAATAGAATAATCATTAGTTCAAATATGGCAGTGTAATCATTGATACTTATAAGCAATGTTAACGCCTAGATAATATACACCAACAGTATGTACAGCTGCTTTACCTTAGGCAAGTCATACCTACATGCTGATGACCTAAAGACAGTATATAATACAGATTTACTCACAGACGAGTTCTACAAATGATGCAGAGCGAATTGAGTGAAGCAGATAAGTAGTGTGAGCACCAATGCCTAAAATTCGACGCAAATAAATGCGGACAGCTGGACATGGGGGGTACACTACATAAAATATGAATCACTTTGTGAGGCAGTGCTTCTCAAACTTGTAACCGCGATCAACCCTGGTCTGCATTAGTCTTATACCCTTAACTTCTGCAAATTCATATCTCCTAAAACGTAGCAGTAGCGACGATTAATAAGCTTTATGCTGTTAATCCTCCATAAAACGAACTCTCGAACTCTTCTTAGCAACGCTGGTGTCAGACCTTTCTCAAAGTGCTTCTCCATTCTACTTTAATGACCAGCATCTACCTGGTAAGTTTGAAATACTGGGAGTTCAACAACATTTACGCCGTAAATGTTTAAAAGTGACCCTTGTAGTGTCTATCTACCCAAATGAGACAACCTCAGACTAGAACCCCTCTAACATAAAAGTAACAAAGGAAGCATACAGGAAACAATCACTCTTGTCTGACTGTGTTAAGTTTCTTAAGCCGAAGCTTTAATTTGCGCCCTTACTTTAGCTCATATATATTCATTGTAACTGAGCAAAAAAGTAGCATTTTAGTAATACACATGGGAGTCCAATCATCTTTCTCAGTTATATAGAACCTGGTTTTTATTGTTATTATATTATCACCATTTTCTTTTATCTTCTCGTTTTCAAATATAGTAGATATAATGCTTATATTACTGAAACTTGTGCACTACTGCATTTTCGAAGAGGCCCGGATTGGTTTCTTCACTACATTTATGTACCCATAAGATGTTTTTGAATAATAATAATACTATTGATTATCTTGTTTTCTTTTGACTTTGCATACCCTGTCTATGATTACACCTGAATTATTTGACCAGATCAGTGAACTATCGTCT